CCAAAACGTTCGAATAATCGTTTTACATTAAAAAAATCAAAGGTCGGGGTAGTTTCCCTTCTTCGATGTAAAATTTAGAATATTTCCGAGATAAGGCATGGTTGTCGTAAAAGGCGACTTAAGTCCGTTAGGCACCATAATGTACTGTTTTTAACTATAACTGGTGGCAAATGGGTTTTACTTACGGCATCCAATCAGAGGTAAGATCTGGTACCATAGGATGCAAGTGCGCGCTCTTTGGGTATCGTCACTGGCTTGGGATTCCGTAAAAGAATGTTGCGGTGACTATGGAAAAGTGCTAACATGCATACTTTCACTACATGTGGAGTTGCATTTTTCATTGAATGCTATGACTCAAAGAATAGCAGAGGTTAAGATGAGCCTCTTTCTTCAACAACGAAAAAGTTATATCCAAATATATAATTTTAATTGATGCCAACGGAATATTGTGTTTATTAACACTTTATCTTGCTATGTGCGCTGCTATGTACGTCAAACAATTCTTCACTTTGTCCGAATAGTTTTAACTATATGTACTCTATGTATCATACTGTATAGTTTTTAAGTTAATAGAACTCAAGCATATATAGTTTATGGATATCAATTTTATTTGAATACATTGAAATTATTATTTAAATACATATTGTTTTTATTATTAAAGCAATTCAGTTTGTTTCTAAAAAACTATATAACTCCAATTCTGCCAAACTTAGTTGTGAGATATATTACTCAGAAATATATCTGTATGATTGTTTATCCTCTTTAACGACGGTATTTTAACGGAATTATTGGTTGTCATGTGGTTTATCAATAATTATTAATGTCATTCACCTCATAAACCGTATAGATTTTAGAATATCTTTCAGTTTTACCACCTTCTAACGACTGCCCTATGTTAGTGATCTAGCAAAGCGTTTTGCTAGTTGATCTAGATTAAATGCCCGTCCCCGGTTTGATGAAGCAATATATATAGAATTAGTGATTAAAAGTTTCACTGTGATATGATTGTCTATTTTAAAATACAGTTAAAAGTTATTGTTAATAGCGTATTGGTGGAACATATTATTTTTGTTTTTATAATATTAATTTTATTGATACTTTATTTTAAGATATTTTGTCTTCTTTATAGAAGCACTTGTACAGCCTCCGTTCTCCATAAGACTGTATTTCTAAAACTTATATATAAACTTAACTATATTACATATTAACTATACAGTGTCCTATCACTAGTTCTCTATCTATATGTCTTATTACGATATTCGTGTTCTAATTCTCTGATACCTTTATGTTCATACTCACATGTTCTTCAAATGGAGTTTAATTTATGTCTATATCTCGTCAATTTATCTCTTTTCATCATAAATACTTTAAAAATTGTTACAATTAATAAAATTAATTCTACTATCAACTGCCGATAAGGCTTTTTAGTAGCATAAATAAATAATCAATTGTACTTCTATGTTATACGCTTATGAAAGGTTTTCAAGGTGCTACTACCTTTAATGTCTCAGGAAGAAAGTATCAAGACCTATTTTGGCCCTGAACTAAACAGTTACTTATCGCATATAAGCTCACATAACCTTAAAATAAGCACGTATTGTAGCTCAACAGCGCATGACGAAGTTCATTCACATTAACTGTCTCACAGCACATATAAACTTGATATCAATTCAATCATCGCTGATATGTTATTGAGTATTAACTTTCCATTTTTCTTATTTAAGCTGCAACTCGTTGACTTATTTCATCTCTTTTTGTTAGTTAGGCGGGTTACAATAATAAAACTAAAATATACAGAAAAGTGGCCTACTTTAATTGGTGTTTTTTTTTATTTTCCTACAAAACAATTGGAGGCTTATAAGTGATCATTGTAAGACATTTTTATTGATTACATATATCTTTGTAAACAACTTCTTACATTTTAATTCGGAATATACAAGTATATAAGGAATAAAATTAATTTCATCAACTGAATTGATTTAAAGATGAAAGTATATCATTCTAAATTTATATGTGTCGTCCCCAACTTTCCCTTTTTAAGCTTTGCAAAAAGCAAACTTAATGATATTCTCTTGTTTTGAAAATGTTCAAAATATTTCTTTATGATATTTTTTACATAATTAAACACACGTTTTTATCTCAAGAAGCCTTCCTCATTACGTCTCGATTGTTTCGATTTTGTTATATCATATGAAAGCATGTTAACGTGTATTGCAAATTAAGAAAAAATTTGTTTATAAAATACTTATGTTAACTAATGAAAAATTAAGTAAACAATATAGAAATGTAGAAACTTGAATGAATATTCCGTGAATAAATAAACACACAAATGTGTCATCATCAACAATTCTCGTTATCTCATAGTGCACTTAAGTTTGAAAGCACACGTTTCCTGCATTGTATGTAAACTCTTTTTGTTTTCTTAGTCCTATCTACCAAATATTATTAATAGATTTACAGCTAATATCTCTTAAAATTCATTTAAATGGACGATGGTCTAAAATGCCGAACTTGATTCATTTTAAGTAAGTTTCCTTAATACATAATTACAAAAGTTTTAAGCTCTTCGATTAAACATTGAGATGAAAAAATACACATTTTACAAACCAACTGAAGGTGTGTTACCTTTGACACTATAGATAACTCAAACCTATTTAAGTTTCAAAAAAAATTATATGAGTATACAAAATTAGTAAGTTATCTTACCATATAACATATATCAATTCCCTTTTTCTTTTTATTTTATCATAGCTCAAATGATAATTCCTTAAGGTACTGTTTAATTCTTGATGAGACATAGACATCCATGCATTAATAAGCACTCTCATTAATGCACTGTTTAATTCTTGGAGAGGAATCAATGACAAAGCAACCCAAACGTCTAATAAGATGGACATATACAATACTTACTAATACGAGTACAATATGTCATATTAACTAAAACCAGATCCAAACATTTTGTTTGATATGCAGTAGCAATAGGAAGTTACCTAAATTGCTGAATGATACCTAATATTATATATATGTAGTGTAATTTCAATAACAATATACTGCGCTGCGAACATGACTGTTCTAAAAAAATGTAAAATTTATCAGTTTAACCATAAAGTGAAAACTCTACGCGACATATACGGTTAAGTTAGATTAAAGTGTCAGCTTTATATATTACCATAGCTCACTTAGGCATACATAATGGTCCTTTCACAGTTAGGCTAATATCTACCAGAAGTATGAAACGACTTTAAAGCTAAATCTCGGCGCATTGAACGCAAATACAGCACCTCTTTGAAAAGGCATGGCAATATCCTTTCAGTATAAGAAAACCAACCTCACAAGTCCATAAACTTAGCTATGGCTCTTATTTAAAAGGATGATAGGTCTATCAGATCAATTAGAAAAAATGCCCAATAGATTTTAAATCTTCTCCTAGTCAATGATGAGCTCTGATATATGAGAAAAAGGGAGTAGAGTTTGCTTCTCATCTGCATACAGTGTTCATATCCTTCTAACATGCCTTTTAGCATTGTTACTGTAGCACTAAGTAAGTTCCGTTTTCTTCGAAACAGCTGACTAATATAAATCCTGTCCAATTTGGACAAGGTCAGTCTTCTGATGTGACTCACCGTTTTCGTCGAAGCAGCTAACTAATATAAATCCAATTTAGACTAGAGGAGTTTTGTGATGTGACTTGTTTATCTACCCAGGGTTTCATTGCAAAACCCAGGTATTCATATTGAATTTGAATTTGCCAGTGGAGCTATTGTAAGACAGAAGCAAATATTTGAAAGTCGATAAACAGAGAATACCGTGCCTCATTTTATGAGTTCGTTTGATTTACAGTTTCCTGAGATCTCTCTGTGTCCAGCAACCAATATAAGTTACATTTTGACAAGCCCAGCCTACTCGTTAGAAAATCATGGTATTTTCGAACTGCAAGAGAAACAGCAGTAACGCCTATCAGAGATTTAACTGATTTAATTCATACATAACAACAACTATATGGATCAGAACGCAATTTGTTACAGAACCATTTGACTTTGACAGAAGTGGTGGTTGTAGAAGCGATTAAAGCCAATTCATTAGAAAGGGTTTGCAGACTTTATCATTTAGCTTGGAGTCGTCAGTGTAAATTTCAATCATTTTAGCAGGTAGAACTGTATCTTGAGTTCAGCTATTTACTTGTATATAAAAAATCCAAAATTATGAAGGTTAGTGTTAAGTTTTTCATAATACTTTTAATGCAGTTAAAGACACATTGGAGACCCTATTTAATGTGTATATTTTTGATTAACTTGACAAATTAAATCCATTGTGTAATATTTGTGTATTAAATCAAACCCATCTTTAGGTTTTTAAAATATACGAACAAAATTATGCAACATACACTTTTTGAGAACAGGCCATGGTTATTCCCTGAACAATCAAATTAAGATGGCTATATTCTAAAGCTACGAAATCCGTTATGTATATAAGTCACCTTTCTTTTGAATTTGTTGTACTATAACGTATCACGTCTCTTCTTTTCACAAATACTGCATATTTCTAACAGATAATTTGAATGAGGTCTGTGAGTAAATCAAAATTCTTGTTAACATTATTGTATTTTAAATATTTGTTTTCAATTAAAATAATATAATTATACAAAAATTCATGTAAGAAGAGGCTTTGTACAGATACCGTCATTGACGGTTTATGTGTCATCATATAAAACTCATGATCCGAGCAGAAAATTCCGATTTAAATGAATGCAATTATCGTAAGAACTTCTCCGTAATTGTCGTGTTTTAATTATACAACAGGTTTTAATTTATTTATTCATTTACTTCAGCGGTATATTAACATGCTTTAAATTTTTTAAATTAAATTTAAAATAATTTTCATTGATGCAGAAATTATTTTTAGTTAAACAAAGCACGTGCGTTTATTTAATTAAGAATAATAAAAATACTATAAAAATTCACAATCGAATAACTAAAGTATTTTTCGAATTTTTATTATAGCCTGGCTTAGACGAGGTCGTTAAAAAATGTCGAAATGTTAACCTATTCTTCTCGACAGATATTGACACTGCCATAAAAGAAGCCGATTTAATATTCATTTCCGTAAATACACCCACAAAAACATTTGGCAATGGAAAAGGTTTGTACTCTTTCAAAAATATATGAAATTTATTATATTGTATTCGTATATATTATTTATTGTACTTATTATCGGTAGGACGTGCTGCTGATTTAAAGTATGTGGAAAGTGCCGCACGAATGATTGCTGAAGTGGCACAATCCAACAAAATCGTCGTGGAAAAGAGTACTGTGCCTGTGCGTGCTGCAGAAAGCATAATGCACATTCTGCGTGCCAATCAGAAGCCAGGCATACACTATGACATACTCTCAAATCCTGAATTTTTAGCAGAAGGCACAGCAATTGAAGACTTACTTAATGCAGATCGAGTACTTATCGGCGGCGAAGAAACTCCAGAAGGACATAAAGCAGTAGAGAAACTTTCTTGGATCTATCAACATTGGATACCGAAATCTAATATATTAACTACAAATACCTGGAGTTCAGAACTATCGAAATTAGCTGCGAATGCTTTCTTAGCACAACGTATTTCTAGCATTAATTCCCTATCGGCAGTGTGTGAAGCGACTGGTGCCGATGTAGCTGAGGTTGCACGTGCTATTGGCTTAGATTCCCGTATTGGTTCGAAATTCTTACAAGCATCTGTTGGATTTGGTGGCAGTTGCTTTCAGAAAGATATATTGAATTTAGTATATATATGTGAAGGGTTAAACCTGCCAGAGGTGGCTGCTTATTGGCAACAAGTTATTGATATGAATGAATATCAGAAATCTCGCTTCTCACAGAAAGTAATTTTTTAAATATAATAATCTATAAATTTACATTAACATTTTATGAAATTTAGATTATTGAAAGTCTTTTCAACACAGTATCTGATAAGCGTATATCCATATTTGGTTTCGCGTTCAAAAAGAATACTGGTGATACACGTGAAACACCAGCTATAACAGTATGTAAGACACTACTTGAGGAAGGTGCTAAGTTGGACATATATGATCCTAAAGTGGAACCAGAACAAATTATTGATGATCTTACGCATCCGTGCGTAACCGAATCACCTGAAAATGTTAAAAAAGCTGTTCAAATACATAGCGATCCCTACAGCGCCATACGTGGAACTCACGCAATCGTTTTGTGTACAGAGTGGGATGAATTTGTGGTAAGTACAAACATTTTGGAGTATTTTACAAATTAATGAAATTATTAAATATTTATTTTTTTAAGAATTTGGATTATAAACGAATTTACCAATCAATGATGAAACCAGCATATATATTCGATGGTCGCAAAATTCTTGATCATGAACGTTTGCTGCAAATTGGTTTTCATGTACAGACTATTGGTAAGAAATACCAACGTACTGGCTTGATGCGATCATGGGGAAGTGTACCACAACTATAGAATTTTAGAAGATATAAATATCGAGAGTTTTAGTGTAAATACTTTTCAGGAACAAATACGAATTCTTCTATGATTTCAAACTTCTAAACAAAATATGGAAAAACAATCACGTTTCACGTTTAAAATATTTATATTTTTATTGACATTGCCACTTAGAAGTATAAATTTATATTTATTGCATTTATAAATACGATATATGTATGTAGATTTCTTATAATATTCATTATTGTTATGATGTGACATTATCTATCATTTTATTATCAATTTTGTACTGCAATTGACGTTAATGTGTCTTCCTTGTGGCAAAGAAAATTATACTTAATCTTATTTAATGTGTTCAGTCGTTTTTGACGGCTGGTGTTGGGTTGAAGTATTCTTTCCTTACTGGATCTATGAAACGTATTTGTTTGAAGTTATTATAATATCAAACTATTATCAATTGAATTATTATAAAGTAAAACAAATTAATTTAATTTAAAAAAATAGATTGATATTGCAAAAGGCCTTCAAAATGTATTATGATGTTTGAACTTGTACTTTAGCAAGACTTTTTAAAGAGTATCAAACTAAATTACTCATCAAATAAGTTGATGGATAAACATCAACATTTTTACTCAGAGATATCTATGACCCTTATGTATAATCAACGTACACTATTCTTATCCTGTGAGTACAGTTCCCCATATCCCTTTTCATCTACTATGTCTATTATAATTTATATATATAATACTCTCTCTAAGCACTCTCTCTTCATAGGATTCATAATAAATATTTAATTTAAATTAATATATGACGATGTCATTGACCTCGTACTTAAGTTTTATAAAAAAAAAAAACAAAGCAAAATTCCCAATAATTACATCATGAGTTATTACATATTATGCATATAAACAGATGTTTCTTTGCTGATCTAGGTCAATTATATTCTTTAAATAAAATCAGTTTAGTTGTTTATATATCGAAATTTATTTTGTTTTTATTTTGATTTTTTTAATGGTTATTTTCTTTGTATTGTCAGGTTCATAAACGCAATTGCAGTGCACATTAAATACTTTATTATTGACTTAAAAATATTTAATTGAAAAAACCAAATCTAAAATCTTGTTCTAAGTATATTCATATCTGCTAACAGTATTTATAGCTATCGTGTATTAAACTATATTTAAAAATTATTTAAGTAGTTCTACTCAAATGAACTCGCATTTTTAGTCTAAAAAGCTTCCCGTTCAAAACGTTAAGCATTTGTTATTTTGAAAAAAACTGTGCATATCGCCATAACAAAACAATTATATTATTTAATTTCTATTATAATTTTGTTATTGTAAACAATAATTAAATACTTTCCTAAAAATAATGTTCAAAACTATCACTACATAGTCATACAAAAATTTGTAAATTAATAAAAATACACTTTATATTATATGAACAAATGTTTTTTTTATATTTAGTCTTAAATTAGGATTTTAAACAAAATTAATTATTATCAACAAATAAAAATAATATTGCAAATTATTTATATTATATTATTGTTACATAGCTTATATTTTTTAAAATGGTTTTCTTTTCAATATTTGACGATACCATAAATATCCAGTTGCTACTGATAAACAATACCATGTTATCAAATATGATAAATGCTCATTTCGTAATGTAACGCGTGTTTGTCCACCTACTGGGCCTCCGGGAGCTGATGATGCATAAGTAGCATCAATGAATACTGGTGCAGCACCGGTTGCTGCACACATTTTACCTAAATCTCTATATAAGAAAATACCTCCTTTGTGTTCAGGTGTAAACTGTGCACGCTTCTCGCCACAACGTACGACACCAGTTATTTCTACTTCATGTTCAATTTGTCCCTCAGGCCTTGTGGTAGGTTTAACTTGTTTTCGTGATACCCACCCTCGATTTACGAGTATAATGTCACTAATATTATGAAATGCTTAAGTTGTTGTGTTACGGTAATGTTACTGAAGTAACTTACTCTCTATTGGATACCTTAAAAGGTGTTATAATTAAATAACCATTTCCACTGTCACGTTGTGAAAATAGTCCACCAGCTGTTTCTGCTCCATCTGGGCGTATAAACGATCTAGGACCCATAAGTAATTCTTTTTCATGTAAAAATTTTCCTCTTACTTTTACTAAACGATATTCCATCTTTGATACATCTGAGAGGCTGAAATATATAAATAAAATGCTTGTACATTAATTACTACTAAAAAAAATTTAATTAAATAATCATCTTAGCGCTCATTTGTAAACTCGTCAGTAAGTTAATTCAAATAATTTAATTATCATGTATGACATCATTGCTTATAACATTTTTTCTCTTTTAACCTTTTAACCTTAATCTCTTTTAGCCTTATAGCTTATGAATATGCCTATATCTCCTGTTCTGTTATGTTCTATACTTTAGCACGATTAAGGTACAGAAGAGATTTTGTTATCAGAATGTAATTAGATCTCTTGTTTATAAATATATTATTTTTAAATAGATTTTTTTGAATATGTACTTGAAATACTTGCGTAAACATTAATTAGCTAGATTTTTTAACATAAGAACAAAGGATGACTGAAATGAATTTTTTCAGTCATTCTTGAAAAAATTACGGATTAACTTTAGAGGTGCTGAGACACAAAAACACACATTTAAAATTCTGTTCAAGATGACGAATATACAGTCTTCTCAATTAACTCACTAAGAAATATAAAGAATAATTTCTATAAGTTTAAATAAATCAACGTAAACTTCTCGACATTAGGATAAAATACTTACTTATCCGGTAAAGGTGCTGCCGGTATTTGTTTAAGATGATCCAGTTCCTTAATAAGTTGTTCTTTCCATGATTTTCTTTTTACTTGCCAGCAACCCAAAGCGAATGTTGTTGCTGGAATAAGCTTAAATTGGAGATAATTGTTTTAATATAACTTTATATATTACATTAATTTATACCAGTAAAAACCATCCGAGTGGTGATATTTTTTTGTTGGTTTCTTCAGCTCTTCGTAAGATTGGCTTAATGGTTGTATTGGGCCCATCCAATGATGACCAAGAACGTACATTGTTAAGAATGCTTTGCTTCGGTGGAATAGTCGAAAATCTTGTTAAGACCCCTACGACTATGGGTTTATTTATTTTTGTTAAATTTGTTGAAAGCCGCCACATTTTTAATAACATATGTTATTATGTGACACCATAGTGACATCAAAATATGTGGTTATCCGTTTTGAATTTGGTTACTTTTATATTAAGGATACTTATACAGATGCATTTTACGGATATACTCGAGTTTAACCGGAATTGTTATTGTTGTCTTAATTATTTTTTTTTCATACTTACGCAAAAAAAATTGTTACATTAATGTGTGTTGCATTTAACAGAATTTATTTATAAACATACCCTATGAGAGATTTATAAATGAGAGAGAGAGATTTATAAATATTTTTTATTATTATAAATTAAAGTATTATTTAATAATTATTAATTAAATTAATTTAAAAAAAAAACTTTATATGAAGGTTTGAATTCCTCATCAAAGAACAAACAAAAAATTACATTAATGGAGTAATGGAGCTGTTGCAAACCTATAGGGTACCAGCGATGAAAAGCAGCAAATACAGGCAAAGAAATGTGCTAGTATAGCAACTGGTGAAATAAAAAGCAAACCGACAACTCGACCCTAGATTGTCGTTGTAATAACTACAAATCTATTCAAACTTAACTTTCTGTGAAATCAATTGTAAAGTTCTGTACAATATCCACAATTGAAACTCCCTTCAAAGAATAAGGTTTTGTTGTTTGTTACGATTTCCAAGACTATAGACTTAAACTCGCAAGCATTCACATCCCAAAAACCAAGACCGTGGTGCTCGTTGTGATATTTACACACTAAAGATCTAAAGTATTATCCACAGAATTAAGTTTTGATGTCAGTTGCGATTTGCAAGACTTCAGTCTAAGGCTCCTAAATAGTCACAACCAAAGTTGCATCCAAGAGATTCAACGAAGAATCACTCTTGCCAATAGATGTTAGTTCGGGCTAAGTAGACAATTGAGAAATAAAGCCCTCATTCGACAAACAAAATCCACGCTCTACAAGTCTTTAATCATGTCTACTATGCTATATGGTGCAGAAGCTTAGACAATTAGCAATAGTGATGGGAGGCGTTAGGAGCATTCGAGAGAAAAACTCTTCGAAAGATCTATGGTTCCTTATGCGTCGGCAACGAGTATCGATTTACAGTCAACGATGAGTTGTAAGAGTTATATCACGACATTGACATAGTTCAGCGCATAAAAATTTAGCAATTTGGCTGGCTTGATGGAGGATATCTGCATCTTCGGTGGAAGGACCAAGTGATCAACCATTTGGTGGCGTTAGGTACTAACAACTGGCTACAAAACCACTGATCCTGTTGACTGGCGGACACTATCAAATGCGAACCAGGATGAATCACGTCTATAAAGGCTAACTAAGTAAGTAAAGATACATTATTTCCTCTTTTATTTAGTTTTTCAGTTTTTCAATCTATCCATGGCTCTTTTACAGAAGAAGCAGGAAAATAAGTATCAAGAAGTAAACTAATTTTTCATTCTTCATTGTTAGAAAAGCTGTCATCATCTTTCCTGAGGTTTGTAAAGGATACACTGGTAGCTCTTGACAGTCCTTTACAGAGTCTTGATGGTCCTTTCATCTTCTGTTGGCTGTCATTTGTTCTTCTAAACTAATCGACATATTATTTCTGCCACAGTCGTATTTTCGAAGTTAGTTTTTTTACATTTAATTTATTAAAAATATAATAATAATTTTAAGATATGTAATTCGATAAAAACAACATTTTAACATTTATAATATATATCACAAGACATTTTTTATTATAATACCATAATTAATTAAAAGTAAATTTATATTAATTTTAGTAGTTTGCAATAGAGCAATATGAAAATATATTGTTAGTTCTATTCTGATTTAACAATGTCCTCCATTATTATTCTTGACTTTTGAATTCATATGTTTAATTAACTAAACAAGCGTTTTCTTAAATTAATCACAATGTCGTTGTTAATATAACAATACTTAAAATGTAACAAAAATAAAGTCAAGAAAAATTTATTTCAATTAAAAATTTTTCTTTTTTTAAATATGTTATTTACATATAAATTAAATATAATAAATAAGAAATCATGAATATTATAAACAAGTGAATAAATGTTTTCTTTTTAAAAAAGAAATATAATAATGGTACTTGCTTTTAATAAGAGTAAACAACTCATAACGAAACAAGAAAACTTATCTAAATTTTAATTTTACATTATATCCGTATCAATTAAAATATTTAAAAATTTATATATAACTGAAAAGTTCTGTTTTTAAATTTTGCAATTAACATAAATATATATTTAAAGAAAAAGAATTGAACTTAACTAAAAATTAAACATTTTTATGGTAAAATTGTTTCTGCACACGGTTGCCATGGTGAATAATTCTTCGAAGGTGACAAATGAGGCGGTGATGGCGAAAGTTTAGTTGAGGATGATTGGGATGTAGTAGAAACAATAGGTTGTAATAAATTGATATGATGTCCTTTCTTCATTGAATTTAAAAAAATATTCATCATAGCAGCTGTCTCCTGTCGACCTCTTTCCAAAATTGTTTCCGTTACTTTTAAGTTTTCTTTTAAAACTTTTTCGGAAATGGACTTGAAGGTTTTTTGATAGTTTTCATCCCGTTTCTTGATCTCTTTCAGTATAAATTCATTCATATTTTTCATTTCTGTAATGCAATATTTTTTTAATATACAATTGCTGTCTTCATCTAAACAAGAAAAATATATATGAAGTTGTATACATTTAAATGTATTACTTATCATTTGTGTTTCTACATACTTGAATTCTGGAGTGCACTTGTGGCTTCTTCTGTTGCTTCTAAACCGTGGTTGCTATGTGCAGCAGGAAAATGATCAATTTTTATTTTTTTATTGTTTACAACTGAGGAATCTGTTTCGTCTTTGCTCACAACACTGGCATTGCATAAAATTTCATCTAACATTTCAAGATATTGCAATGTTTGACGGTCAACTCCGTTTGTGGAATTATTACGTTTTATTTTGTTGTATTGAAACTTAAGGGATTGAAATTTTGTTTTAACTTGAGCTCTAGTTTTGTTAACACCCTTTTGTCGTAGTTTTTCGGTAATATCAGAAAAAATTGCTTTACTTTTTTTCTTTTTCCCATTTAATAGTTCAACGACATTTTGCTGCTTCAATATTACAAGCAAATGTAATAATTCCTCATTTTTCCAAGCGTATCTTTTCTTTTCTTCCATTGTTTATAAAATTGTATTATAAAAATATATATGAATTCTTCTCAGTTATTTACGCTGTTTAAACTTGTGCAAAAACAAAAACATACATATGTTGCTCAAAGAAACACGAAAACATCATTGCCACCGTTGAAATTTAGCAAAAACAAAAATATTTTTGCACACGCATTATATATTTTTATCCGCAAATTATTTTCTGACTGGCAGTACCGGAATTCTTGCTGTTAAAAATTTAAATTAGTGGTATTCAGTATGTCTGCGCATCGTTGCACATGCAAAATTATTTGATTTTATAAAAAAATTCCCTTTCTGATGATTCTGTATCTAATTTGCAAAACAATATGTAAGACCATATTTTCAACACCTCTTGCATATTTGAATCTCAAGACTGAATGATAATATTTTTTTTACTGTTCGCTGGCCAATACTTTAGCGAAACTGTCAAGTTTTGTTTGATTTTGTAATTTTGTGCAATTGTTTGATTTTGTATTTATTTTACGTCCAACAATGTCGGACAATGTCAATATATTCTGCTTTTCATTTTTTCTTGGCATTGTTAAAATTATGCATATCGAATCTGAGTTATATTTTACAAATATACAAATACGAAAACATAAATCAGCTGTTTTAAAATTTTTTTTAGACTAATATACACAATATTCATGTGTATTCACTATTATTTGAGTTTGCAAAGATGCACATTTAATGAAGCACAGACATCCTGAATATCCCTATTGATTCAAAATACGTTTGAACTTAATATGGTTCAGCACTATAATTACTGTATAAGAAGTTTAAATTAATGGTGTTTTATGAAAAATATTTTAGTTACATAATTTATATTAAAATATATTACTATTTATAATGGTTTTTATATATTTCTTAATCCGGCTATTTGTTAATTTTTGTAAATAATTCAACGTTTAATATTTTTTATTATATTCTATATTTCGACTCTCCTTGAGAGTCATTATCAGGATAAGGATTTAACATAAATTAATATTACGAAAACTATATCAATGTCATTCTCTTTATTCTATTGTCTATATTGCAATATATATTGCAGTGCAATATAGCCGGTTTAAAAAATATAAAAACCATTAACCATAAACATAAAAACTATTACAAAAAAACAGGTCGATAAATAAATTCAAAAAATTATATTGCAATTTATTTTTTAAAATTAATTCACATCACTATTATCTGAACAGCTGTTTTGTTTGTTTAGTTCCTTTTCTCTTTTCTATGCATTTTCTACAATATTCTATGTGGTTATTAGTTGCGAATGTGAGGGGATGGAATAGCGGAGAGTTTTCAACCCGATGTGGAACTAATTAAATTAACAGAAAATAAAAATATTTAATAGGTATAATGCAATAATTGTGGCGTTTAGGAGTATGCAAGAAATATTAACGTGATATTGGCACAGAATTTTATTGTAAGAATTTAATTAAAATTTGCAAAAAATGAAAATTATAGGTAGTTTATCAGTGGTGAGCAGCGCATACAGTGGTAATAAGAAAACGTATTTTGTTGTGTACATTTTTCATTATATAAATTTCTTTATAATTGTGGTGTAGTTATATTGCTCTTCACAGCAACAGTGCTGTTGCTACCCAATACAACTGCTTCCCGAGTACTTGAGTTAACTGACCGCTTTATTGATGTAAGACATGAAGGACAATTTCTGGTTATGTTTTATGCACCCTGGTGTGGATACTGTAAGCGTACTGAACCCATATTTGCTTTGGTGGCACAAGCATTGCATGCCACAAATGTACGTGTGGGTCGACTAGATTGTACAAAATATCCTGCGTCTGCTCGTGAATTTAAAGTACGTGCATATCCCACTATTATGTTTATAAAAGGTAAAATTCTATCTAATATGGATTACACAATAATATAAATCAATAAAATAGATCAAATAATAAATTAATACACATGTTTTGTTTAGGTAATATGGAGTATGTTTATAGTGGAGATCGTACGAAAGATGAATTGGTTGATTATGCTTTACGCATGAGTGGACCGCCAGTGCAATTGGTAACACGTACCGAGAGTGTTGATATGTTAAAAGGTTCACATACCATATTCTTCATGTTTGTTGGACAACAAGAAGGTGTTGTGTGGGATACATTTTATGCCGCAGCCGAAAGTTATCAAGAGCATGGATTTTTTTACGCCACTACTGAGGATATTGCAATACAACATTTTGATATGGAAAAATTACCAGCAGTTATTGTTTATAAAGAAGAAATGCATCACTTCTATCCAAATGGACACATTGCACATGAAATGGATCCACAAGATGTTAATGAAACTATACACCATTGGGTTAACGTCGAACGGTTTATAACCTTTCCAAAAATCACACGTTACAACATACATCAACTGTTACGTACCAAAAAATTTTTGGTAATCGCTGTAGTAGAAGAAGACAAATTGGATCATGTAGCCACACATGAATTGGAGTTTAGAGATATGATTGAAAGTGTGATACGAAAACATCGTGATCGCTATCATAGCCAATTTCAATTTGGTTGGGTAAGTTTGTGACATTTTAAACTTATTTAAATATATTCTTATTGCTTTCATATTGCAGATTGGTGACCCTAGTATAGCGCACTCAATAATCTTAGATCAAATGCCCACACCGCATTTAATAGTTATAAATTCCACTACACAACACCACTATATACCAGATGATGATCCTTTACAAATGACACCACAGGCTTTGCACATATTTCTTGAGTCCATTATTAATGAAAGTGTGACTGCGTATGGAGGCGACACGTACTTAGTACGTTTGCAACGCGCCCTGTTCGAAATACGAAAGGGTTTAAAAGAGATGTGGCAGGGTAATCCAGTGTTGACCTCAGTTATATTTGGTCTACCATTAGGATTTTTATCATTGATTTTATATTCCATATTTTGCGGAGACTGTTTAGTTACTGATGAGGAAGAAGATGAGCACGAGAAAAAGGAGTAGAGTAAATTATGTGCCAAAGTTTAATTAAGCAAAATAACAAAAAAAAAAGAGTTCTCGAAATATTTGTAACTCATCTTATGAAATCAAAAAATTTTCTTTTTGATGTTTGTGCAAAGTATTCCAATTTATCAATATTATAGGTTAATTGTCTGCCTTTGAATTATTGTTGGAAGTTTTGATATTTGTGTGTACTTCTAGTCTAGTCTAGTTTTATTTTATAAATATTTTTTCATTTCTTTTCAATTAAGTGTATTTTTTAAACTTAATTTATTATATCCAATTATTTGTTAGTTGAGTTATATTTTTATTGAGTAATTTTTGTTTTAGTATTTACAACTAATTTAAATAAAAGTGTTTCCATTACAAAAAATACAAATTTAGTTTGCATTGAACACATGCATATATCCATTATAATGTTATGCTGGTTAGTAGTTGGACAAGTTAAAGCTAAATGAGTCGTTTATTGTGGGTTTTATAGATCAGCAACCATAGTCCTCGTCGTCATCGTCAGAATCTATAGCAGCCCTTCGACGGTCATATTTGACTGTTGATTTGTTTTGTGGCATCTGTGCATTAACACTTTCGAGTATATTTACGAATTGTGCATCGTCAAGTTTTCCACGTACTTGCCCCATCTGGGCCATGCGTATAACCATGTTCTCAAACATTTCAGCTTTTTCAGGTTTGCTTATCTTCAGTGTATTTACTATAGAATTGAACTTAGTTAATTTATAATAAATTTAATTTATATATGTTTAAACCTACACCGTGCTCTGGCTTGTTGATCCAGAACTTGTGATAATATAGAGTTTTTCATTTCAGCCTGTTGGCGCATTTTCTCCTCTTGTGCAGCTTGTTTATCACCGGCGCCTCCGCCACCTCCGCCCTATAAAAAAAGGAGTTCAATAAGTAAAAAATAAAGGGTCTATAAGTATGAGTCATCTTAAATGTGTATTAATATATGGATATTTGATAAAGGACTCAATTCGTTTCCACCTCCACCTAAATAAGTAATATGGAACTGTTTTTCACTTCCTTGAAGAGTCGCCAACATTTGAATTTATTCTATATATGGTTTTATATGCCGGCGGCATAGCACTGCTTTGACAACTGTTTTTTCTTGTAACTTCTACTTACATATTGGGCTTGCAACTGAGCCATCCTTTGTGCTCGCAATTCTTCCAAATCGTTGTCTGCCATTTTAAGCAATTAATTCTTTATAATTAAATGAAAACTGTAAGTTTTCCGATTAACTGAAGTAACAGTAGCACAATAAGAGCACAACTTTTCTAATTAGACGAAAAGCTAGTGACTTCAAACACACAAGGTGATCCGTAAATGAACATTTATAAATTTTATTGTGACAAAATTTTGATGGCAACCATGAGTTTTTATGCGTACCTTACACGGTAAATCCAAATAAAGAATTAATTAAGTAGTTTTTATAAAAAAAAGATTGTATGCGAGCGGCTGATTGATAGAGATTAAAATAAATAAAAATATTTTAATAATTCAAAGCAAAACTTAAATCAATATTAAGACATGATTTTGTTTTAAATTTTTTTTTTTGAGAAAAACTTTTAAAGGCGGCTTTTGTTTTTTTAATATTTTAAAGTTTTATTTCGAACGTTATGTTTGTGTATCTCTACACGTGTTTTGACAAATTCGCTTTTGCCTTCAACAGGAAAATTCTTAATATTCAAAATATCTAGCAATTCACAAACTATTTATACTATTTACATGTGTTATTATTTAATTTTAATTTTGGTAAGGTTAAGACTTGTGTTATGACTGTAAAATCGATCTTTAATAGGTCTGTTCCACGAACTACTCGTAGTAATTTCGAGTAACACTGTGTATATACAAGTGTGTTCCACCAGCAAATTTTCGAGTAAATGAGAGCATCTGAGAGAGCGTAACATCCCTGTCGAAATTTGGAAATTATACACAGACTTTACTCGTACATTTTATTTCAAGTAAAATTTGTGTTGATGTGTGAATCAGCTGTTTTAAATTGAATTTATATTTTTGTATTGTTTATTCTCACCAGGCTTTACACAAAACTGTTCCATTAAGCAGCGTAATTTGACACTTTATTTGAGTTACGCTATCAGTTTGTACTTTATTTGTGTTTTGCTTGAGCAAAACAAGCTGTTGAGTAGCTGTTGGAACAGACCTAATGTAATTGCAATCTGTGTGAAACATAAATAATAATGATACTCATCTAAGCACTTAAATTTATGTAATATATATTTGTGGGGAACACATTAACCAGCGCAACGCCATCTGGCGTGATGTAAACACCAAAGTGCAAACAGCAATTCGTATCTTCTCAGAAGTAAGAGAAAAAATATGTGATTACGTGTAAAACAATAAATGCTCGAAAAATAATAAACATTCACGGCATATACTTAAAAATGTTTTAATTAAAGTGACAATACAATTGCTATTATCTTTCACAATGCAATGTTGTCTCGTGATATTTTTTTTAATTTTAATGCTAAGAAGGACAAGGTGTTCACCTTGTTATACACTTTTGTTCTAAATATGCGTACTGCACTTTGTATTAGTCGCCATAGTTTGCGCATTAAACAAAAAAGTGGAAGGCAACCTTACTACTTTTATCAATTTTGGTTTTATAATTTTATTGTATATGTAAAATTTTAATAATAATAATTATTGTTATTGCATTTTATATAAACCGTTATTAAAATCTGAATGTAGATCAAAATATATTACAACCTTTAATATAGTATTAATTTCCTTTTTTCTGTCTTAAAAATAAAAGTTTAAATATCTTTTTTAAAATAATTAATTTAATTGTATAATTAATTTTATTCCTTGCAAGACTAAACGACCTGAAGCCCGGATTGATTTTTATAATATTTATTATATTTATTCCACTAAGTAATTGTGAATACATTTAATGTGGCCAAAAGTAAAGGAACTAGCAGTCCAGTTAATTATCCTTAGTTAACTTTAAAATTAATTTTATTGTGAATTTTTCCGTAATTTTATTGTGAATAATATTATTGTGAATAGACATGTGGATTCTAATGCATAAAACCCAGTAGTAAAAAGTAGTTATACAAATTGCAAATTGTAATTACCGAAACATATTTTTATATAATATAAGTGAATCGTATTAGATCTCACTAACTTTGTTTTAATTTAATTTGTTAATGTATTTAAAGAATTTAAAATTTGATATCACATATCGTAAGCAATTGATCTATAATAGATTGTAAGATATTATATGATAACCATCAATTTAACAAGCAATTCGAAAAAATAAATATGCGATACGCTCAAATTAATAAACACAGTTAAATGATAATATGTTAATTGTGTTTTGTATGAGAAACAATAACAATATGTTTACCTCTTAGCATAAAAAATTGACTTTCGACAATAATTAATAAAAAAACAAATATTTAATTTAAAATAAACTGTATTCAGTAAAATATATTCAATAGGTTTCTGTATTTGATTAACACAAATAGCTCTTGTTAACCGTATAGCTATTCAACTTTAGCCTGGAATTTAATTTATAAAGCCCAACATCAGAGAAATCCCAGTGGTGAAAAGTAATAGTACTTTATCACTGTTCTTCATATTAAATGTAAATGAACTATTTATATACTTTTATGAATGCAACTAAAGTCCTATGTATTAACTTATTTATTAAATACACTTAATATCATATATTTATATTACAACTGTTTTTACAGTATACTCTATCTACCGTATAGCGAAAATCGTCAAGAATAATTTTCAACGAACTTAACGAAAGGACAAGCGTTGGTTCAGTTGCGCGTAGAGGGAGTAAAGAATTTGCTAAAAGTATTTATTACAATATAGATTATATATCTTATTACCAATATTAACGTTATGTAAATATTTTTTAAGTTCTTATAATATTTTATTAATATAATTGAATTAAATCTTAATTTGTAGGTAATCTTTAAATAATGGCGCGTACCAAGACAATGAAAATATCAAAATATCGTGAAATAATACCAGTGCAGACACAACCTGTACGTCCGGTCTTAACTGTTCGCATGTGTCGCTTTAGATCGAAAAATATTATCTTCTGCGGAATACTTCGTAATCCACAAAATTATGATTTATTACTTAGTAAAGCTGGTTTTCAACGACTAGTCCGTGAAATTGCTAAAAATTTGAAGATAACGTTTCGTTTCCAGATTGGTGCCATGCTAGCTTTTCAAGAGGCTACAGAAAATTTTGTAACCGATTTCCTGACAGACGCCTATTTTTATTCCTTTCATTCTAACCGCGAAGGGATTAGAAAAATAGATATTGAGTTTGCTAAGTGTCTTTATAAAAAACATTTGAAATAAAATTACATCGTAATATTTTCGATTCAAACTATTAGTAATTATGTAATTTATCATTAAAATAATAAATTATTCTGCTTCACAAAAAACTCATATGGTTTTTTTGCACCACTTGGATGTAAAGAGTTTGTAACTCGTAAGTACCATAAAATTATGATTTGAATAAACTAACTTACTATCACGTCCATAAGGTAATCAATCTGGGTAGAGGTATGGAGATAAAATAAAACAATCAATTTATCCAATGTAGTGCTCAGAAATCTTCTATCGTAGGAAAGGATGAGGTACAGTAATCCGAACAATTGATTATAGTCACTTCAGAAAGGTATGCAAAAGTTGTTGTTTCGGAGACGTTTCATATATTTAGATACTGATATATACTTACTCACCAAAGTCCATAAAAAGAAGTTCTGTGTATAATATACATATTTGCAGAGCTCTCATTTCTATCTCTAACATCCTGGAAGACATTTTGCTTACACTATCTAGATTTATACTGTTATCGACATAACTTCCTGACATTTTGACGAATTAGGGATATATGCCCAAATAAGGTCATTGAGCAAAATGCTATTGAAGGCTATATAACAGCTTGTGTGTGATCAAAACTCAACAAAAGTTCGTTTAGTCCCCGTGAGAAATTCGATAGTGATGTTATGTTTTCTAAAATCTCTATCTAAAACTTGTGAGGTTATAAACTACCATAAATAGACAATTAGCATATGTCGGTAGGCGCTGGCGGTACTTCGTATATTAAAATATTATTATATTTTCAAAACAAAAATTATTAATTTCCTTCCTATTTATTGTTAACTTACTTATATATGAAACCGAGCAAATGAAAACGAACATTATCTTCCATATCACCTATTTTCATTTCTAGGTTGCCACTTTTGTCTTTTCCGTTTTTGCTTCTAGGTTTCAGCAACGACTGTGATTTCGAATCGTCATCCACCATCACATGAAAAAAATTACTAAATACGATTATATGGGTTAGGATATCAGTCAAGTTGGTGAAAAGTGAGAAGCAGAGTGGTTGATTAGTATAGGGCATGGGTAAGGGGTGTTGGGTTCTAGGAGCGACCAGGCCTCGCAATCACTCTTAAATCACGATGAACAAGTGTTGCTCTCGACTTCTAACAAGAAATCAAGAAATTGCAGCTCACCCCCATGACGTCGCCCATCTCTTTTCTTGCCCCAATGCACACACTGATTTAAGTCCAATCGACCTTTGGACTCATCCCCTTGAGGTAGTTAGGTTTCGTCGTCTGGACTCTGGTTGATTTCAATTATATCGCCCCCCTTCTTTTATCCCCTTAACTCTAACCCCACCTGTCCACTCCCTTACCCATGTATTCGTCTTGTAATCCTTATATATTATCTGCTTTCGTATCCCGGCAGGTTACAACAACAACAACAACTTCTAACAAGGACTATACGAGCAGATATGTGTTTAATCTTTTACAAAACACATTTCTACAACACCTATTTTCGCATACTGGAGACACTCACTTAATAAACAGAAATATTAAGTCACAGAAATCAATTCACTGATTAACTTCAATTTCTAAGCAAAATGTTTGATTAACGTCTTTCATCCACTCTCGAAAAGTGCCCGAACAGGTCATTTACTCCACATGATGTTGCTTATATATTTTCTTAACCAAATATTCATACAAATTTGAACCTTATTGAGGGTTGAGCCATTAACCCCGTTCAGGTGACAAGATTCTCTACCTGGAGCCAGGTTCAATTCAACATCTCTGCCTGTATTATATTGTTTATTCTACATTACTTTTCTCATCCTACCCCATTGCCAATCTTTTATGTAGTTGCTTTCAGGTCCGGTGATTGATTGATGGCAGCTCTGCTACCTATTCTTACCGTAATTAAGATGAAATAATAAGATTAGCACTTCATATCGGAAATAAATATGTATATTTTAACATGGCAATAGCAGTACATAGGCATATAATTTAATACTTATCATATATAAATAAGTGGGCTAAGCAGTCATCTTCCTAAAAATTATCATGTATAAATATAAAACAATAATAACTTAATCATCATCATCATCATCAGCGTTACAGCTCGGGGTGAGCTTTAGCTGCATCAACCAGCTTTCTCCATTCTGCTTTGCATGATGTTTTAGATCTCCAGCTTTGTATACCCATTTTCCTGATGTCTTCAGTCACGTTGTCGAGCCATCTTATACGCGGTCTACCTCTGCTGCGGTCATTATACGGCGTGAAATGGAGTATTCGCTTTTGTGGTCTATCGTCCGGCATTCTCATGACGTGTCCTAACCATCTCAAGCGTTGCGACTTTGCGAACTTCACCACATCTTCACCATCACAAAGTTGTAGTAGTTCAGCATTCGTACGCCGACGAAATTCTTCTTGATTCAGGCGGATGGGACCATAAATCTTTCTCAACACCTTTCTTTCGAATGTTCTAATTTGGTTTTCATCTGCTGTCGTTAGAGTCCACGTTTCGGCCCCATAGCATAATACCGGGCGGACGATTGCCTTGTAAGCGTGTAGTTTGGCACTTCTGGTCACGATTTTAGATTTGAAGATTTTCGCGTGTCCGTAATAACTTCTGTTTGCTGCTACAATTCTGTCTTGTATACTAACACTGATTTCATTGTTTTTATTAATAAGGACACCCAAGTATTTGGCGCTTTCAACTTCTTCAAACGTAAACTCACTAACTTGAAAGGGCTCTAAAGTTCGGCTGTGCATGTTTCTTCCAACCCTCATATATTTTGTTTTGTTCTCATTAATGTTTAGCCCAACGATCTTAGCTCTGAGTTGTAAGTCGATGAACTTTTCTTTCATATAGTGAAGTGATCTGCTTAGGATGGCTATGTCATCTGCGTAGGCAATGGTCAGTGATGTTTTGTTGAATATGTTCCCTGTTGCCACCAGTGACTTAATAGCATCGTGAAGGACTAGGTTGAAAATGGTAGTTGAAAGCGAGTCACCTTGCTTCACTCCACTTTTAATTTCAAAGGCATCTGTTAGACTGTCTTGCACTATAACTTTTCCAGTCGTATTGCACAATGTAATCATTATTAGTTTTATGAGCTTCTGATTGATCCCGAGTGATTGTAGAGCTTCCTGTATCATTTTTCTATCGATGCTGTCAAATGCTTGTTTGAAGTCGATGAAAAGGATATGCACTACTGCATTGAACTCATAACTCATTTCCAAGTTCTGTTTAAGCAGGAATATTTGATCGGTCGTTGAACGATTCGGTCTGAAGCCCCCTTGGTATTCACCTAAGATTTCCTCCGCTGCATTCTTTAGTCGCTTGTTTAAAATGCATGTAAAAATTTTGTAACATGAGCTTAACAACGTTATGCCTCGGTAGTTATTACAATCTAGTTTGTCACCTTTTTTGTGCAGTGGTACTACTACGCCAGTGAGCCACGCTTCCGGCAGCCTTTCTTCAGCCCAGACACGCTTGATTAATGTAAACAGCTCTATTTTTGCGCTTTCTCCGCAATGTTTAATGAGCTCTGCTGATATACTATCTTCACCGGGTGATTTTCCGTTTTTCATTTGCTTTATGGCTTCTGTAAATTCCTCAAGGCTGGGTTCAGGTTCTTGTTCTGTACTTGTAGCTAAGTCTGTTAAGGATAGGTTATTACTTTCCGAACCAATGTTGAAAAGTTCTTGAAAATGTTCCTGCCATCTTTTGATAATGCCCTCTTTTTCTACTAGTAGTTCCCCATCTTTGTCTTTACACATGTTGATTCGCGCTTGAAAACCCTTTGTTTGATGCTTGATGTTGTGGAAGAAACATTTAGCATTTCGATCTGCAAAATCCCTATTGATGTTTAGGATTTCTCTATTGACGTCTTCTTTTTTTTTTCTTTTGCATATTATATTTGCTATTTTTCGTTTGTTTTTGTAGTTGTTTCGATTAGTAGTGCTGTTGTCATTTAACATTTGCTCCCTGGCTACATTCTTAGCTTCCACTGCGACTGCACAGTCGTTATCAAACCAATTGTTGCGTCTACGATTTCTTTTCACACCAACGGTTTCTTCTGCTGCTTTTGTGATTGAATTTGCAAAAACTTTCCAATGCTCGTTTATATTGGTATAGTTCGTGATATGTCTAAGTGATTCGTTTACTCTCTGCTCATATTGATGGACCGTTTCGCTATCATGTAACTTGTCAACGTCCCATTTTTTCCTTCTAGATCCGTAATTTCTACGCACGCCCTTTAGACTTTGTCTTACTGTGGCTTTTACCAGAAAATGGTCGCTATCGACATTCGCACTTCTACAGCTACGAACATCAAGGATAAACGATTTCTTAATATGGTCTATAAGAACATGATCTATTTGGTTGGCTGTTGTTGAGCCTGGTAGCTGCCATGTCCCCTTATGTATGTTTTTGTGTGGAAAATGCGTGCTGCTAATGTACATACCGGAGCCAGTTGCGAGCTGACATAACCGTTTACCATTGTCTGATGACACGGTGTGTAGTGAGTGTAAGCCAGCTACATTAGAAATGTATTGTTCTCTTCCAATTTTTGCATTGAAGTCTCCAAGTAATATTTTTGTATCATGTGATGGAATTTTGTTCAATGTCTCGTCTAAGTCTGTGTAAAAGGTCTCTTTAGCGATATCATCTGCGTCTTCTGTTGGAGCATAGGCATTTATCAGCGTAAATTTGCTAAACAGTCCTTTAAGGGAGATTACACATATTCTGTCATTTATTGGTCTGAAGCCCAAAAACGATTTTTCCACTCGTTTGTTGAGCAGAAATCCAGTCCCCGACCTACCAGACCTTTCAGCGTTACCACTAAAACGGAATTTTGTACCGTTGCATTCAATTTCACCACATCCTTGCCACCGTACTTCTTGGACCGCTAGCACGTCAACGTTGTACTTTTCCATTTGCTTAATTGTTTCTTGTAGTGCTCCTGCTCTCAGCAGCGTACGTACGTTCCATGTTCCCAGAATTATATCACGCTTCCGTTTTTTTTGACTTGTTTTATGTTTTTTGTTTG